GACTTCCGGCTAAAATAAAAATAAAGTCCTGTGTTACCTTGGCAATAGGATGTGGCATCCTGTAGTGAAACAATGGGTCTGGGGCACTGCAGCTGACGCTGACAGATGTTTGAGCTTCTCAGTGGCTTTAGCACAAGATGAGGAGGATCCTCGAATGCAGCTTTCTGGTAGCTTCTGCCTGAGGATGGGCCGACAAACACCTGCCCGGTTTCTCAGTCTCTGACAGGAAAATCTTACCAGTGTGGCTACATGCTTCCTGGGCGTATGCGGTTTCATAGTAGAGGTACCAATGCTATGCAACGGCTCTGAGAGAGAAAAAAGAAACACTTGTCTTTGCATCCTGGTTACTCGTACTCATCTCTCCGGTGTTAGGGGGTCCCTGTAAGTTGGAACTGCCTCCTCCCCGTGTGGATTTGTTTCTTGCTCTGTCTCTCCTGCTTTCAAAGATGCAAACGATTCAGAGAAGCAGCAACACCAGTCAGAGATGGAGCCATGGAGAGAGGGAGCAGCTGAGGACTCTAGATTCACGGGAAGAGAGGAGGGACTGAGAGCTGGTGGCCAGGAGGCAGACTTGCAAAATGTGCCCTGAGGAGCTGTAAATTATTACAAAAAAAAAAGAGTTAAAGTGAATAGAAATACTGTTAACTGATGGTACATGGAGGGGATTATAATCATTGTAATGAAACAAGGTGTATGATTTGTTGCATGTAAAACTGATGATCTGCCCTGTAAACTTTTACTCAATCCACAATAAAATCCTTAAATAAAAAAAAAGATGCCACTGAGCCACAGCTAAGTTTATTCTCAAGTAACAGAGCTAAGGTATATCCTCTGTGAAACTAGCTGCATTTGAAACAAACCATAAAACAGACATTGAGGATCCCTGGTGTTGTGGCAGCCGGAGTCAGAAAGAATGTAACCCGAAAACTCAAAGTTTATTACCGGGGGGCCACAGTGTCAGCTACAGCCCAAATCACTCTGACCCCGAAGCAAGCAGGGGAACAGGATTTTATACAAAATTACAGAGCAGTTAAAACAGACTTGTCTCATCACCTGGGGTGGAAAATTCCAGCAGACTCCTATCCTGCGGGAGTAACCCCCCCAATAAACGCTTATCCTGTTTGTGCAGGTGGGCTGGTGATTTTAGCTAAGCCTTTATCATGTTTGTTCAGGTGTCCTTGGGTCATTCTAACCTTCACAGTTTTCCTGTTACTGAAGTATTAGTGTAAGATTATTTTCTTTCATGGGCTGAGGCGTAGGCTGAAGGGACTTAGGGGATACCTAGTTTAAAGGGAGACTGCTAGTCATGCTGTTAAACACAAAGTCAGCAGTTCAAATCCACGAGTCGTTCTGTGGGACAAAGCGCCTTTCTGCTCCCATAGAGATGTACAGCTTTGGAAACCCTATTGTTGTTGCAAACCTTGTATAAGGTTTCCGAGGAGCAGCTGGTGGGTTTGAACTGTTAACCTACAGTGCCACACCAGGAGTCCTGGAAACCCTTTACAGGGTTGCTATGAGTCAGAACCCACTCAAAGACACACAAACATCATTACAACAACACACAGATTAACCTCAGAAACGAAACAAAGCAGGAATGCTTGGTCCACTCTCTGAAGTCCTCCTTAAGCTTGCTGTTGTCCAGTGCTGTTGAGTCATTTCTGACCCTGTATATGGTTCCCAAGGAGCTTGAACTGCTGACCCTATGGTTTGAAGTGACTTTGCAGTCCAGCGCATTAACCCACAACACCACACCAGTCCTCCTCCTCAAGCTTACTCCCAGATGAAGCTGTTTTTCATAAAACTGGTCCTAACCAGACTGAAGTGTGTGTGTGTGTGTGTGTGTGTGTGTGTGTGTGTGCGCGCGCGCGCAGGGATGAGGGGGGTGGGGGGGTGTAGTAATACTGAATGGACTTGGGGAATTCCCCCAACAACTGAGTTGCTAAGTGCTCATAGGGACCCTGTGTCGGGTTTCTGAGGAGTGGATGATGAGTTTGAACCACCAACCCTGAGGTTCAAACCGACCTTGCGGTCCAGTACTGTATCCTACAGCACCACACTTGGTCTCCAGCAACTGAGCACACAGTAGAAAATCCTCCCGTCAGAGCAAACGGTACCAAATTCCACCCTGGCCCTATAATTAAATATGCTTATTAGTCCATATCCCCATGAATATGTATAACCTCCTTCTTGTTAAGTGCTGTGGAATCAACTCACAGAGACCTTGTATAGGATTTCCCAAGTTGTAAATCTTTGCAGGAGTAGAAAGCCTCATCTTTCTCCCACAGAGCAGCTGGTGGGCTCAAACCACTGACTTTTTGATTCATAGTTCAGGGCTTATCCTACAGAGCCACCTTCTTTTTCTTGCTTAGAAGCTCCCCAGGAAGACAGTGCTTCGAGCGTCATTTCCCTGTCCCCTGACTTGTTGCAGGTGAGTAACTTTGCAGACGTCCTTCATCCAGGGACTGGGGGGCACAACCATCAGAAAACATTGAAGAAGGCACAAGAAGTCAAACCCCTTCCAACTAGCTCAGGAAATCCTCCTCTAAGTAATGAGCTGGGCCACCATCCTGAGACACTGACGAAGACATTTGGAAGTCCAAAGCCCCTCTAACCAACTGCTACATGAGCGCCTAGTCTGAGTCATCCGTCAATGAAACAATAGAGCTCCTTGAAAACTCAGAATTCCCCCTGCCATCACAGCTCCCCTGGCCTGGAGGCAGATAGGACAGAAAAAAGCCTCACAGGCTTAACTCCCCTGACCTCAGGGGAGATAGAACAGACACAAACCTCACAGATGGTGTTTATTGTGTGATTATAGACCCCGAGCATTCCTTAAAGCAATTAACTTAACTACCAGCTGCTCCGCGGGAGAAAGATGAGGCTTTCTACTCCCGTAAAGATTTACACCCTCGGAAACCCTGTACAGGGTAGCTATGGGTCGGAACCGACTCAACGGCACATAACAACAACAACAACAATGTACCTCAAAGACCCTGGCACCAATGGGACTGATTTGCAGCCTTGTTAGTCTGCCTACCAGCAAACTGATACATAGTTTTGTTATTCTACCTATGTAAACTGATTTGTAGCCTTGTTGCCCTGACCTGGTTAGCTATTATCTAGTCTCCCTATTAGCAAACTAACTTACTACTTTTGCTTCTGTACTCCTTGCTTTAGCAAATTTCCTTTAGATAAGCACCTAGACCCTGAGCCAGGAATGTAGCCTATATAAACTAGCAGCCAGCTCCCTGTGACATGGCAGACTCAGGAGAAGCTATTGTCTCCCAGCTGTCCAGTGATAGCTGTCTGTTGTGCCAATAAAATTCTCTAAATTGGGCATCATAGTGGTCATCATCCTTCTTTGGGACTTGAACCTATAACTAACAGTCCAATGAAGAACACCTGTAATAAACAACTGATCCGTGACTCTGGGTGGGAGGGAAGGGCCTGACTGAATAAGAAAAAGCTGCTTCACAGCTGCTGCCACTATACTTGTGTGGGTTTTTTCAATTGTGAAGGAGCGAAGGTTTACAGGGCAGATCATCAGTTTTACATTCAACACATCATACACTTGGCTTCACTACACCATGGTAGATGCTCAGGTCATTTTTGGGAAAACAGGAGCCTGTAAGGTAAAAGATTCAAGTCATTTCTGAGAACAAAGAACAAAAAAACCCCTAAAGAATGTGAATTCCCCTAATGGAATGTAATAGACAAGAAGTCTTCACTAATATGAACCTTTTTCGTGGTGTTTTTTTTTTTTTGTAAAATGCTACCTGCTGGCCAATGCCCGCTGCCTGGTATAACAAGTGTCCCTCTTTAGTTACTCCCCCAAAGAAGCTCTATAAAACCTTTGTTACACTGGAAAGAAGGGCTCAGTCTCTGGAAACGAATCCACCGAGCCAGGTGCCAAAACATTAAAACCCTTTTTGAATCTGCGTGTTTGGCAACTCCTTAAGGTGGCTCCGGCAACACACGGTTGCAACCCAACCCCCACCCCAGCCCCCGTGTGCCATCAGTTAACAGCAGTTAACCTGCATTCACTTAACTCCTGCAGACCTCCCTGAGTCTCCCGCCACCCGCATCTTCCCTCTGACAGCCTCCCTCTTGTATATTTCCTGAACTGACACCCGTGTTGAAACGTGCCACTACTTTTAATGATTGCTGAAAAAAACAAACAACGTCTTCCTGTACCCGCAATCCGTTTACAACCGAAAACTCCGGGGTGGTGGACACTTAGTCAGTTACACAGCGTTACTTGGCAACAACCTGGCCACCCCGGGGGCGGGGCGCACTGGAGGCGAGGGAGGGGGCTATGACTCCATCTGGGGAGTTGGTTCTCTGCCGCTGTGGACAAGCGGGCCTCGGCAGCGGAGCCAATGCCTCTGACCCCCGGCGATGAATCACCAATCCAGCACCTGCCCTCTGCCAGCCTCGCGCGCCCGACGTGGAGTGTCGCCCGCTTGGCCGCGCACCGACACTGCGCTCCCTCGCGGGGTTTCGGAGGTCCTTGGGACCAACGCGGTTGCCATCTCCCACGGCTGTCATCAGACTCACCGTTTTTCATCAAAGTAGAGACACAGACCTCGCCCTGGATTGGGACGAAGTGTAGCGAGCGGTCACTGAGGTGTGCGGTGGAGGCCGGTAGGAGTCACCGGCCAGCGCGGAGGAGGCCCCGCAAAGTTCGGGGTTCACTCCCGTCGGCCCCGGAGTTGGCCACCTGCGGACAGAACGTCGTGAGGCGAAGCTGCCAGGCGAGTACGGAAAGGGCTAAGGGGCGTGAAGCGCCGCCGAGAGACCACATTCATGTACCGCAGGTTCACTCGAATTACACGCCGCCGCCAGGGGTCTCCACCAACCCTGGCCCAATGCCCGCCCCCTCGCCAGACGGCGTGACCCATTGGTCGGAGATCCGCCCGAGCACGCCCCTCATTGGTCATTGCACCACGTCAATCGTGCCTTTCCCCGCCTTCCTGTTTCCGGAGGCTCCACTAGCGGCTTCAATCCACCTCAGCCTTTTTCCTAAACCTCTGGCGAGGCGTTGGAATTCGAGTGGGCTCTCCAGAGTGGAAGCCGAAGCCGCAGGCGGCGCGGTTGTGCTTATCTTGGGGGTCTGCTTTTGCCCTTCCGTCTCCTGCGAGTGCCCGCCCTCACATCCTCAAGTGAAGGGAACCTACCCATGCTTACTGGTTTGGTGCTGTAGGCTAAGCACTGGATTGCTAACTGCAAGGTTGACGGTTCAAGTCCACCAGCCACTCTCCAGAAATCCTGTAGGATAAGCATTGGAAGGCATGGCCAATTTTGATAGGGTCAGCCCAGGGGCAAGGAGAAAGAAAGCAGGATCTGGAACCCTGGTAGAGAAAATAAAAGGTTGGTGTTAACACCAACCGGTTCTTAAATCCAGGTGCAAAATCGCAAAGGAAAACAACCTGAAAGGCCAAACCACCGAGCAAAATTAGCCAATCAGAGACACCACCACCAGGAGCAAACAATCTGAGCAGGAGTGGGCCTACTAAAGGAGCGGCTTGTTGGTAGCGTAATCCTGGGGGCTCAATTAAATTGAATCTTTCTTCCTCTCCATAAGCATAGATTTGGGGCAAACCCTGGACTAATATACATATTTCTGTCTGGGTGGACCCTGTTATGCAAGTCTTAAGACCATCAGAACAGGCAAAATCAAGTATGTTGTGGGCTAAAATAGGAGGTTGTTGAGTTGATAGTAATTAGAACAGATGTCTGATAAATTGGAGGCACCCAGCGAGATGCTAGAAGAGAGGAGACAAGTGGCTTTTCCCGATATAGATTCGAGAGTGAGGGAAACTGGGGCGACAGGGTACGAAGAGGAATTGATTGTTCCGTTACTTTGGGTTCCTATACCTATGTAATATGAGGGTTTGGGTTTTAAACAAAGCTAGCAGTGTTGTGCTAGGTCAGGGGACGTTGAGTTGAGGAGGGAGTTAATGAAAGTAGACTTAGGGGTAAGCATTTGTGGGGTCCAGGTTGGGGTGCAATGGGATTTAAGGAGTCTGGGTGGGGTTCTGTACAGTTAGAGGTTGGAGGTTCCTAAACATGGGGTCTTATTTCAGCAGAACCCAGTTTGGACTTAGGTCAGATCATTAGGGTTAGCATGCCCATTCCGGTTGTTGTTGTTAAGTAGCGTGGAGTCGGTTCCAACTCATTGTGACCCTGTACAGAGTTTTTGAGGCTGTACATCTTTACCGGAGCAGAAAGCCTCATCTTTCTCCCATGAAACAGCTGGTAGTTTCAAACTGCTGACCTTTAGGTAGGCAGCCGGATTCCTAACCACTACGCTACCAGAGCTCCTTGTCCATTCCGGTTACCTGGGAATAAATAGAACCTGGTTTGCTGGAGTCTCATTTCAGAGGGTTTATGTCACAACCAGCATGGTCTGCATATTCCTGAGCCACCTGGCAGTGTCCACTATGACCTCGTGTCCATGAGGGGTTGGTCATTGTCTGGACTGGAGGAGATCCAAATAATTTGCTCAGGTTGAAACGCAGGAGGGCAGGATTGTCTGGTGTCCATGTGATGTTGCTGATTGTTGCCCCAGTGGTATATAGCTGGTTAAAGGAAATTGGTATTGGAGCTGTGGAGTAACAAAGGTTACTGGAAAGTTTAGATAGTATAAAAGGAGAGCAAGGCTAGTCAGAGAAGGCATTTTGGCGACAGAAACGGAGGCGCAAGGGTTGAATAGTCTCAAGGATCCAGGGTTTGTGGGTAGCTGCTTTGGCTCGGGAATGGTGAACCCAGGTGTCTATTCCAACTACTTTAAGTGCTGATGGGGTAGTCAGAATGACCTACGAAGGTCCAGTCCAGGTGGGTTGCAAGGGCTCCTTTTTCCAATTTTTAATATAGACAAAGTCACCAGGCTGAAATGGTTGACAGAAAGTGGTTATAGGGAGGGGGTTATGGTCCTGTACCCACCTGGAGATTTGGTGGAAGACTTCCTGGAGTGCCTGCAGCTATTGGGACACGTGTAGGTGTCCATGCTCCAGGTTGGCAGGTAGTTTAGCAAGAAAGGAGGGGCCTTTCCAAATAATATTTTATAGAGGGAAAACCCACCAGACCCAGGAGTACACCGACTGCACAATAGGGCTGTGGGTAACATGTAAGGCGTAGATCCAGTTTCCTGGCACAATTTAGCAAGGGTGGACTTTAGGGCTCTATTTTGTCATCCTACCTGTCCTGAACTCTGAGGACGGTAGGCAGTATGAAGCTTCCAAGTGATGCCCAAGGCCTTAAAAAGGCTATGCGAGATCTGAGAAACAAAAGCTGGTCCACTGTCTGAGCCAATTGACAAGGGCAAGCCGTATCTAGGAATGATTTCCTTAAGGAGTAATCTGACTACTTCCCGGGCCTTTTCGGAACAAGTGGGCAATGCTTCCACCCATCCTGAAAAGATACAAATTGCTACTAAAAAGTATCTGTAACCCAAGGGAGCTGGCATAAGTTCAGTGAAGTCAATTTCCAAATGTTCCATTGGGGTAGTTCCTCTGTACCTGATTCCTTGCAGGGCAGTGAGTCCCTGTTTAGCATTGTTCTTTGCACATACCTCACACCGCTGGGCCATCTGGGCACACAAGGCATGTAGATGGTTAAGATAGAAAGTTTTCCCCAATAGTTTGGCCATGGCTGTTTTTCCCATGTATGTGGGCCCATGGAGTTGTTGCACCAAATAAGGTGCTATTGAGCCAGGAATGAAAACTCTTTGGTTGGGTAGTACCCACCGTCCTGACTGTAGTTCTCCCTTTTCAGAAGTGGCCCGTTCTCGTTCAGTGGTGGTCTACGAGGGGTCTGAGGCGGGTACTGGGGTAATAGTATAGAGGCCGTGGGTGTATCATGGAGGGGGGCTTCCTTAGCCGTTAGGTCAGCTAGTTGGTTACTTCAGGCGACTGGGTCAGACCCAGACTGATGCCCTTTGCAGTGTATAACGGCCACCTTTTTCAGGAGCCAGACTGCCTCTAAGAGTGCCAGAATTTCTTGTACATTTTTAATGTCCTTTCTAGCTGAAGTGAGTAATCCCCGCTCTCTGTACAGGACCCCATGAATGTGGAGGGTGGCAAATGCATAACAGCTGTCCATGTAAATGTTTACCTGAGTTTCTCTGGACAGTTCCAAGGCCCCTCTCTGTCAGAGGCCTTGGAACTCTGTCAGCTCGTTGGACAGAGGTGCCTTTTGGGAGGGTTGCTGCTTTCAGGACTCGGTCTTCGGTGGGGACAGCTGCTCCTGCACTTCCATCTGTAAAGAGAGACCTTCCCCCCTGGGATGGAGCTATCCTGCAGGTCTTGTTGGGAAGCGTACACTGTTTCAAGTGTCTGCTCACACTTACGTGTTTGTGGTATGTCCAAGTGAGGTAACAGAGAGGGGGAGTTTAGGGTACGCAAAGCAGAGAATTGGATGCAAGGGTTCTCGAGCAGCAGGCTTTGGTATTGAGTAAACTGGGTATGTTAGCCACTTATCTCCAGGGCCTGTGAGTACTTCAAACACAGATAAGTTCTTTTGGTGATCCATTGTACTTTGAATATTCTCCTCCAACATCATAACTCAAATGCATCAATTCTATAGTCTTCCTTGAAGGCTGTGGTCTTGGATCTTCATCATTAAATGTTTTAAGTCCTCTTCACTTTCAGCAAGCAAGGTTGTATCATCTGCATATCACAGGATGTTAATGAGTCTTCCTCCACCCCTGATTCCACATTTTTCTGCATATAATCCAGCTTCTTGGATTATTTGTTCAACATAAAGATGGAATAACACCTCTCCTAATTGAAAACTATTTGGTGTTTCCTTATTGTGTTCGAACAACGGCCTCTTGGTCTATGAACAGGTTCTTTATGAGCACACTTAAGTATTCCTGGATACTCATTCTCCACAAAGTTGTCCAAAGCTTGTCATGATCTATACAATCAAAACCCTTTGTGTAAGTCAATAAAGTACAGGTAACATCTTTCTGGTATTCTCTGCTTTCAGCCAAGATCCATCTGACATCAGCAATGATAGCCCTCTAAATGGCTTATGTCAAGACTTGTTGGCTCAGCTCTACTCCAAGCACGTCCTACACATCTTCTCAATTGTTCAAGCAAGGAGGGTCTCAGGCCTCAACATCCTGCAAGGTTTTAATGCTCACATTAAACCCTGATTCCGGAATTTTCTTTTGTCCTGCTGTCAAGTCAATGCTAACTCAGGGACCCTATGCACAACAAAACAAACAGTGCCTGGTCCTGGGCCACCCTCACAGTCATCCCTGTTAATTGCAGCCACTGTGTCGGGTTAGATGGGGTGGGATGTCCCCAGATCCTATCTGCACATGTGCACATGTTCCATCAAAGCAGAGAGCTCCAACTGGGAGCTGGAGATACTGGTCTGCACTGCAGTGTGAGCTCAGAGATTACAGCTATGTAATGCGGGTGTAAAAATGATTCCAAGTCTTAGTACAGATTGATTTCAATGACGTTTAGATGGTAAAGAGTGAAGCAAGACCAAGGGTTAAGTCAGAAGACTCTGAAATGAAGAAAATCAAATAGGCTGTTACCAAAAGCACTAACCCACACACCTGTGGGTCCAAAGAGTCAGAGGTGAAAAGGATTTCAGGTGGAGGATGGGCTCACGGAGACACATGTACCAAGGGGAGGAGGAGCTGGGGTGGAGAGGACCTTGGAATTTGAGAAGGTGAAGGTGATAATAATAAGTCAGCAGACAGAACTAACTGGTAGGCACAGAACACAAGGGGACTGAGACAAAGGGTGGCATTCAGCTCAGTTTTCTATTTTTTAAACAACTTTTTATTGTGAATTGAGTGAAGGTTTACAGAGCAGATCACCAGTTTTACACTCGACAACTCCTACACTTTGCTTCATTGCACAGACTGTCATTTGCTCCATGTACCAACAGATATCTGTATTTACCGCTATTCAGTCTAACTTGAGCGTTCCTCCCTGTGTCTCCTAGAGAGACAGACAATTTCGGAATATTTAGTCACGGAAAACCAGGATGTTGAATATTGAAACGTGATATATTGAAGAATACTGGAATATGGTCAGAGATTGTGCCAGAAGATGAGCCCCTCAGGTTAGAAGGCACTCAAAATGAGACTGGGGAAGTGCTGCCCCCTCA